TACGTTTTTTTATTTTAATATTATTATTTTTTTATTATTATTTTATTATTTAATATTTATTTTTGTCCCCCCTCTCCCTGCTTGTTACCTGGTCAGGGAGGGGGGCTCTCTTAGTCCCTGGTGGTCCAGTGGAATGGGCTGTGCAGGGGGGGAGCCAGCAGCAAGTTGTTACATACCTTTGTAGCAGCTCCGGTCAGCTCCCTTCACCTCCGTGCAGCTCCCCTGTCAGCTCCCAGTGTAAATCTCGCGGCCTGCGTGCCGCATGGAGCATTGCCACGGTAACCCTCTGACGGCCACGGGGGTCGTGAGATTTACACTGGGAGCTGCATGGAGGTATGTAACAGCTTGCTGCCAGCCCCCAACAGGACCGCCGGGCTTGTAATGAGCCCGGTGGTCCTTGTCTGTATTATGGCAATGTAAGTTGCCATAATACAGACCTTGACTCGAGTATAATAAAAAATGTGCTGAAAAACTCAACTTATACTTGAGTATATACGGTAGGTGAAAAAGGCCCTGCCCAAATGAGATTATAATCAATTGCCGTGTGTTAATGCTCTCACAAATGTGAATATTAGTAATATCAGGTAGAACTGAAGTGATGGTGATTGTTTTTGTATTTGGGCTGATGAATACAATAGCCATTGCTGCTGCCCAAGAGTAGGGGAAGTTTGAGTACTATCATTTGTGAGATATACAATACTTGTCCCCTGTACACATACAGTACTCACAGGGGGAGCTTTAATTCCAAAATACTTTTCTTTTATACACCTCTTACGATCCGTTTGGTTACAAGTTGAAGGCATTTAAAGCATATAAGATTACTGAGAATCAAAAAATAAGATCTAAAATAGACCTTGATTTTAGAGTATATAATACAGCTGAAAAATAGAACTTTTGTTCCAGGCTGGTTAATGACACCCCAATGATGTTGCCGGAGGTTGAATAACAGGCCAGTAATCTTATATAGAAATAAAAAATATTAGATAATAGAAACAATCTAATATAAATTCAGGAGTGGTATATACCTTTAAATTTTAAATCTTATTTGTTGCAATGCTAAAAAGACATCATATAGCTCACATTCAATGATTAAAACATATCACTGTATTGTACTCAGATTTTGCTTAAAGGACCACTATAGTGCCAGGAAAACATACTCGTTTTCGTGGCACTATAGTGCCCTGAGGGTGCCCCCACCCTCGGGGTCCCCCTCCCACCGGGCTCTGGAAGGGGGAAAGGGGTTAAAACTTACCTTTTTCCAGCGCTGGGCGGGGAGCTCTCCTCCTCCGATCCTCCTCCGTTCCGCCCTGTCGGCTGAATGCGCACACGCGGCAAGAGCTGCGCGCGCATTCAGCCGGTCGCATAGGAAAGCATTATGCGACCGGCTGAATCACAGTGAGAAGCATGCAAGCGCCTCTAGCGGCTGTCAATGAGACAGCCGCTAGAGGCTTTGGGGGAAGGCTTAACCCATTCATAAACATACCAGTTTCTCTGAAACTGCTATGTTTATAAAAGAATGGGTTAATCCTAGCTGGACCTGGCACCCAGACCACTTCATTAAGCTGAAGTGGTCTGGGTGCCTAGAGTGGTCCTTTAAGCCCAATATAAAAAAAAAAAAAATCTCTGAATAGATACAATTGTATCAGTCAAATAAAAGTTCACAAAAATCAGTTACTTTGTTAGCTGTTTCAATTATTTCCAGTTATGGTCAAACTGGGGTTTGTATACTGGATTAGCTAGATTTATATAGTACAATATTATAATGTCCTTGCAGGTGCAGCAATGTGATAAATAATAATAATGTACTTTTCTTGAAGGTTAAAATATAATGACTAACAGATCATGATAATTGACCTCTAGTTAAATAAAGATTGCTCCTTTCTGGAAGAAACAGAGTTCAAAATCCATAGTGCTTACTGTATTAAAATATATTTAATGTACACAAAATTAAAAATTGCACTCGCAATTTGGTAAAAACTATTCGTGCTGTACTGGAGTCAGGAAAGTATGGTGTAGGCAGCTGGTTCTGTGTTATTGTCCTGTCGGCAAATGAATGGACTAGCTGAGAGCCGCGTGCGTGTCACCGATCTTCCTGCGTTCCAAGTAGAGCCCGATTGTGTTTACGGTAGGTGCCAGAAAGTGAAAAAACGTCCTTACGCGTTTCGTGAGTCTATTGCTCACTTCATCAGAGGATGCCGAGCAAGTAAATCTCACGGGTTTAAATAGCCAATACTGCTCTGGCTTATATTAACCATTTAAAGTTTAGTCCATACTTTATCAAACTTTTAGTTCATTTTCACAATATATTAAACAATATTAATTTTTGTAAGCACTAATGGAAATATATACAATTAAGAGAATAAGATCTCTTACATAAAAAAACTTGTAACATAAAAAACTTACTTAAATTTTTATTCCTACACATGTAAATTAATTAGGAATGCTAAATGGTAACATACTGACAAATTACTAGTGTTGTAATATATAATACATATTTAAATGATGGTAATATAACTATTGCAGAAATGTGATTGCCATATGTTCGTTCTAACCGTGTAATATTGAATTTTAAAAATGTAATTAACTATTTTGTGACAGACTAGAATGAATTGATAACCCATCATTTCAAGTTATTAAAAATAAAAATAAATATAAAAATGAATATAAAAATCAAAAAGTAATAGATTCTATAAAAATGCTCGCAACAAAAAAATCCACATTGAGTCCTTTTGGTTCCAATGTTTCTAATTTAAATATCCAACTTGCCTCTGCTTTGTCTAATTCTTTTTCCAAGTCACCTCCTCTCCATGGAATATTAACTTTTTGTATTGCCATGAAGCTAAGTCCTTCAGGATTCCTTGCATGTGTGACATCAAAGTGCTTAGAGAGATTATGTGAATGGAGTCCTTTTTTAAAATTCCTAATATGTTCTCCAATTCTTGTTTTAAATGCTCTTTTTGTGCGCCCTATGTACGATTTTTCACACGGACATTTTAATAAATAAATTACACCAGTGGTGTCACATGTTAATAGTGATTTAATTTTAAACAGATCTTTTGTTTGGGGATGAGCAAATTGTATGATTTTGGTAGGCTGTTGTGGATTATTTATGCAGGCTTTACATCTTCCACACTTCCAGTAACCTGTGGTTTTCTTTGAGGTGATGATTGTTCTTTCTTCTATTTTCTCTTGTTTAGTTGTAGGAGCTAATAAAAGACTTAGATTTGGAGCTTTAGAATGTATTATTCTGGGTTTATTTTCTAATATTTGATCTAATTGAGGATCACCTTTTAGAATGCTCCAATTTTTATGCAAATTTTTTAAATTTCCTGAGTATGATTGTTGTATCTAGTTATAAACGCTGGGGCCTCCAAATTTATATTATTGATTTTTGGTTTAGTTGTTAGACTTTGTTATGTAGTTAAAAGGGAAGTTTTAGCTAAAGCTTGATTGAGTATTTTTTCTGAATAACCTTTTGCTTGGAATTGTGATACCATCGTTGTAATCTGTTTATCACAAATATCTGGTTCTGAACAGTTCCCTTTGATCCTTCTGAGCTGGCTGAATGGGATGTTATTCAGCCAGCTTTTCTTATGGAAACTGTTATGTGGGATGAAGCTATTACATGCCACTGTTTTTCTGAAAGTTTTGGTTTCTAATTTGTTATTCTTTATGTAGATTTCTAAATCTAAAAATTCAAGTTTTTCTGTGGATTGATTAAAAGTGAATTTTAGATTATAGGGATTAAAATTAAGATACTCTTTAAAGTTATCCAACGTTACAATGTCCCCTTTCCAAAAAAAATGCAGTCATCTATGTAGCGATGCCATACGGGTTATTGGACCAAATATGTTCATCCTCCCATTTACCCATAAATAAGTTGGCATAACTAGGCGCAAATATGGTCACCATGGCCGTACCTTCAATTTGGAGGTAGTGATGGTTGTTACCCCAAAAATAGTTGTGGCTTAGTATGAAGGCTACACATTTGACAATATATTCGATTTGATCATTTTTTAATTCCGAATAGGTTGCCAATGCATATTGGATAGCCTCACATCCCTGTAAATGTTCGATAATTGTGTACAGGGATGTGACGTCTGCTGTAACTAGAATAAATTCTTTATCCTATTGAATGTCCGATAAAACATTGATGATATGGGTAGTATCCCTTAAATGGGATCGTAAATTTGGAACATTTTTTTGAAGGAATTGATCAACATACTCTGATAGATTGGAAGTTAAGGAACCAATACCAGAAATAATGGGACGTCCTGGTGCATCTGTCAGGGTTTTGTGGATTTTTGGTACATGATAAAATATCGCCATTCTATGGAATTTACAATAAAGATAATCAAATAATTTTTTATTTAAAATACCTCTCTCTTTACCTTCTTCTAGTAATATCTGTAATTCTTTTTGGAATTCTTTGGTAGGATTATTTGTTAAAATCTGGTATGTTTTAGTATCTTGAAGGAGTTTATCATTTTCTGCTTTGTAATCTGTTGTATTTAATACTACTAGACCTCCACCTTTATCTGCCCCTCTTATAGTGATTTGTTCATCATCCATGAGATTCTTAAGAGCCCTTCTCTCATGTTTAGTTAGATTATCTCCAGCGTTTTCTTTCAACTTTAATGCGCTAAGATCTTTCTCCATATTTTTCTCGAAAACTTTATGATCTGTTTTAATCTGTTCTGGATAGAACGTAGATTGTGGATGTAAGGTGGAATGTTGATATTGGTTAGTATTAGATGTTGGCTGACATTCTTTCCCAAGAAAAAATGTCTTAGTAGTTAATTTTCTAATACAAGTCTATAAAAATGTCAAATTGTGAATTACAGAAATTGGGGGCAAATTTAAGCCCTTTTTGAAGTAGGGAAATTTCACTTTTAGTTAATACTTTTTGAGATAGATTGAACACATTTATCTGATTTGCATATGGTTGTGGTGCTGGTATTGATGTCTTAATGTTTCGTCATCTTGCTCTTTTCTTTGTCTTATTTTGGGGATGGTGATTCTCTCCATCTGATTTCTTGTTCTCTTATCGTCCTTTTGTTCTGTTGGACTGGTGATCTTTGTATCTTCGTTGTTTCTTCCTTTTCCCTCGATGGTGTCCTTGTCCGTTTCCTCCCTAAAAAAGTCCCCAAAAAAGAGGGCGAAGAAGGTGCTTCTGTTTGATAACGTTGAACCTGATGGGATGATTTTGATGGTGAATCTGCTTTTCTGAATGTGGTTTTTGGCTTAGGAGATTTATAAGGTCTGGATGGTGGAAAAGATTCTATGGATTTGTGTGAAATATGAGATGATGATTCATCCCAGTATTTTGAATTTGGACGTTGTGGATGTTGATATGACTGTGATGGGTTTCTCTGATTATAATTGCGATTTATATAGTTACCTGATCTGTATATTTGAAATTGACTGTTGTGGGATGGTTTTCGATTTGTTTCCCTTCTATGGTTAAATTTCTGTTTTTTCCAATTCCTTTGCCTTCCTAGATCATAATCTTCCTTATCCCTCATGAGTTTCTTATATTTGAAGGTTTTTACTTGGATTTCCAGATCTTTTACTCTTCTCTCTATCTTATCTAATGATTCCACATAATTACCTTTTTCCACTTCTGGGATTAATTTTTCTTTCATTTCCTTTATGTCTCTGTCCATTTGTTCTAATTCTTTTTTCTTTTCATTTATAAGAAATATCATAAGGAGCAAAGAACCTTTGTCCAAGAGTTGGTCCCATTTTTGTGAGCAGATTCACGTCTTCTTTTTTGTAATCTAGTGTTTTAAAGAGTTCTAAAGGCTTTATTTGGAACGCAGGAAGATCGGTGACACGCACGCGGCTCTCAGCTAGTCCATTCATTTGCCGGCAGGACGATAACACAGAACCAGCTGCCTACACCATACTTTCCTGACTCCAGTACAGCACGAATAGTTTTTACCAAATTGTGAGTGCAATTTTAAATTTTGTGTACTATAAATATATTTTAATACAGTAAGCACTATGGATTTTGAACGCTGTTTCTTCCAGAACGGAGCGATCTTCATTTAACTACAGGTCAATTATCATGATCTGTTAGTCATTATATTTTAACCTTCAAGAAAAGTACATTATTATTATTTATCACATTGCTGCACCTGCAAGGACATTATAATATTGTACTATATAAATCTAGCTAATCCAGTATACAAACCCCAGTTTGACCATAACTGGAAATAACTGAAACAGCTAACAAAGTTACTGATTGTTGTGAACTTTTATTTGACTGATACAATTGTATCTATTCAGATTTTTTTTTTATATTGGACTTAAGAAAAATCTGAGTACAATACAGTGATATGTTTTAATCATTGAGTTTAAGCTATATGATGTCTTTTTAGTATTGCAACAAACAAGATTTAAAATTTAAAGGTAAATACCACTCCTGAATTTATATTAGATTGTTTCTATTATCTAATATTTTTTATTTCTATATAAGATTACTGGCCTGTTATTCAACCTCCGGCAACATCATTGGGGTGTCATTAACCAGCCTGGAACAAAAGTTCCCAGTTGGCTAATGTCAATACTGTGCATGTTTTGTTGAGAGTACTCTCAATTAATGAATGGTTCGTGGGATTGACTTCTGCAGCTCAGCATGTCAGGAGGACCCTTGATGACCCGAAGAGACCCCAGTAAGAGGACAAATGGTTTACCTCATTATTAGGGAAACGGGGACTGAGTACTAGTGGTTATGATGCTTGGAGTAACCTTGTAATGATTATTTGTTTTTGAGTTTCAATTCTGCTAGTACGGGAAGAAACATTTTCCAGCCTTTAATACAATCATTCATTGTTTAGTTCAGTCAAGAACTTTGTTTATTTCAGTTACTTTACAGAGATGGTTTTGTCATGTTTTAAGGTCATTCATTTTGTGTCCTTGGTTTTGCCTAATTGCTTTCTGGAAGCGGATTTGGAACATGCTATGAAATGAATTTCGTTTCACATTGATAGAAGTAAAGCATTCCTTACGGTTAGAGGAATTTAAAGGATATACAAAGGAAGCTTTGAAGTATAAAGCAGCTCCATGTAACGCATGTATTAGGTAAGCATTGTTTATGAATTCACAAAAAAATCACACCGCCATTGTAAACAAGGGGTAAAAAAAACGTTTTCACTTACCCAATTCCAGTACAACTGGGTCACGCTCCCTCTCCACCAACGTTGGATAGGAATGATAGGACCACTTCATCCAGAACACTTCATTGAGATGATGTAAACTGGATATTTTTGGTGGTCCTTTAAATTTCTTCACGAAGCCCATGCTTCTCTCCTTTGCATGTCCCTTGCTGCAGACCTATGTCAGATTTTGCAGGCAACCCAGTGCATCACCCTTTAATGCTCCCTTGCAGTATATAAATATGAGTAATACTGCCTTGGAAGTGCCACCAATGGTGGCCCACTGGCTACTAGCTCTGTCAGTGGGAAAAAAGGTTTAGATTGTTTTAAGTCCGAGTCTGGAATTCAGGCGTCTGCCAGTTTTTGGTACAGCTGGAATGTGGAACAAATTCAGGATTAATCAGAATCTGCATTGGAAAATTCTGACACTTTCTGGATTGAGCAATCTGATTGGTCCTGTTTTGCAGCAAGTGATTTTGCCCCACTTGGTGTGAGATCATTCAGACTTTAGTGCCCATATACACTAAATCAGATGGAGATTGTAGTGTTTGCCTATGGTATATACAATAAATACAATACATACAATACATACAAAGAAGAAGAGCGCAAAATGTAAAA